ACCACAGGTTTCCTCGCAAGTTCCAGTGCCTCCGGTCTAGCCCTTTTAAAAGCTTCCACTAAATCCTCGATAGCAGCATTCGATTTCAGCTTGACTTCTTGGTCGTTCGATCTACATGTTGGGCATTTCGAGTCATTATTGAGGCATCTTCGTATACAAAGTGAACAAAAGGTGTGCGAACAAGAAGTGATCATTGGCGTAGTGAAGAAGTCCTTACAGACTTGACATCGTAATAATGAGTCGACATCTGCGAGTTTAGAAAGTGGCGTCCCCAACCAATCCGTTGAATCTGCTATATCAAAAGAATCATCCTTTGGTCCTCTAATATTCATAGCTTCTTCAATAAAAGTCCTGGTCGATTTTTGGGGGGTGTTTGCCTTGCTTGCCGCATTATTTCTTCTCGACGGAGGTGACATCCTGGAAATTTCGCGTAAAGTGGTTGACAGACGCGTCGCGACTCCCAGTTTATCAGTTGCCGTAACCTCGAAAATAAATCAGATAACAGCTCCAGCAACCTTTTGAGAGAACCACAAAGTTGAACAAAATGGCGGATTTTAAAAGTTATCTTGCAGCGAGTATCTTGACAGAGGACAAAGTGGTAAGCAATTGTTTGTGGAGTTAAATTATTTTAACTGAAAGTCTTAGGTCACTTATAAACTGCTTAGTCGGGTGCTCAAAGCCCATGTAAATACAGCAAAGGAGTAAGTCGTTCTCTAGCTTAGTAGTGTGCCTTCTGCTAACATTTTGGCAGAATGCTGTTTGAGTTTCATCGAGTACAGAATGCAAAGAAACCAGGGACAATTCATGCAACTTATCTCATTGGTGGAACAAAGAGAAAAGAAGCACCTGAGGTTGAGGCGCAAAAGGATGGCGAAGATGATTATATGCAGAGCAGTCCATTTGTCGGAAGCTCAATGCCACAGCTCGAAGGGAGTACTGGTGAAGGCTCTACATTTAGTATAACATTGACTCGAGAGGAGGATTTGGAAAGTTGGAACCCCGCCTTTGGCAAGCCATACTTCGTAGCTAACAACCTACAGCAACACGGTCTCAATTTGAGCACATTTCCTCAATACATATATACAGTTTAGGGCCTCACCCATTGAAGGTAGAACACATTTTAAGTCCAAACTCTCCAAGTACTAACAACTTGTAGGAGCTCCAATTGCTCTCAGATTCGACCCGAGAAATCCAAACACTCGCCAAATCCGAAGACCCCCTCGAATCCTACCATAAATATGGAATAATTACCAACCCAAATGCTAAACGCCGTATCCGCAAAGCACCACACATTGCAACTGCCACACAAGCATCTGTTCCAACCAGACCTGCGACTGCGAAATCCAAGCTTAGTGAAGTCCAAGAGTCTGCTAAATCGTCTTCCTCCTCCAAAAAGCCCGAATCAAGATCACAGCCATCCAATGCCAAAGATTTCTTTGGCAGCAGTGGAAAAGAAAAGACCAAGGCAAAGCCACAAGCAGAGTCTACAAAAGCCGAATCCACCACTGCGCCCTCAAGTAAAGAATCAACACCTGCTCCTCCTGCAAATCTCAAGCGCGAATCAAGTAGCATTTTCAAGGCGTTCGCGAAAACTCAGCCTAAGAAAGCAAAAATTGAGGAAACAGAATCTAGTGCGAAGGACGATTCAGCGATGAAAGATGTCTCGGACGATGACGAAGAAGATACATGGATGCCAGCGCCTGTCACTCAAGAAACCAAGGCTCAAGATCGAAGTTCCAGGAAAGCAACACAAGAGAGACTAAGGAAAATGATGGAAGATGATGATGATGAAGAAGAGGAAGAAGAAGAAGAAAAGGCAGCACCCTCCCCAGCTCCTGAAACACCCGCCGAGGAGTTAGAAGAGGAAAAAGCACCTGAGGAAAACAAGGAAGAAGAACCTGTCGCAACTACAAGTAGTGGACGAAGAAGAGGTAGAAGAAGAGTCATGAAGAAGAGAACTGTGAAGGACGAAGATGGCTATTTAGGTAGGTTACTCACAAGTTTTATTCTCCTTTTCCATGCGTAATGTACTAACCGAGATATCAGTAACGAAACAAGAAGCAGCCTGGGAATCATTTTCGGAAGACGAGCCTGCTCCAGCACCTAAAGCTAAAGCAGCGGCTGTTTCCACTAAACCCAAGAAGGATGCACCAAAGAAGGGACAGGGGAATATTATGGCGTTTTTTGGGAAGAAATAGTGTTTTTAGCGGAACTTCAGGGAGTGATTGTTGACGACATTTCATAGCGAGCTGAATTGAGCATCATAGAGGTTATGTGATAGCGGATAGCTTTGATCGATCCAAATATATTGGTAGCAAATGAATATAATAAAACTAAATCACTGTATTAGGATGCAAGACATGCAAAATGGCAAAAATTGAATTCAGATCTAACTTTTCTTTGCAGAACATCTAATACATACATCTGCCTTACTTCACCAACAAGTATGATCGAGCTAATCCGACAAGTCGCACAGAAAACTCCCTCCATAAACATAACTCCAATCATAGCATGGTCATTGCTTCCACACTTTTATGCAAATAAAAGCCTCTTCTTGACGATTAAAGACGTCAAGTCTCGAGGTCATAAGGATCAGCGCCCTCCCCAAACAAAAGATGTGGTTTCCGTTTTGCAAGATCAAGAATTGTTTGTGCAAAGACTGAGTTAGCCCCTTTGCAAATATTAGTATCTGGATTTATCATATGCGATGGGTCCCATAAGACACGTGAAGACGGAAAGGGGAAGAGAAAACGAAGACATACATGCAAACCAACTCCTCGTATACTCCTGTATACGGTTGACATTAATACTCTCATGAATCAATCCCAATCTACTTGCTTTCAAAACTAGGTTCAAACACTCCATGATCTCATCATCATCATTACTAGTCATGGCTTGCAACAGTAGAGACATAGGCCATGCATTTTCGGGGCCAATGTGTGGACCTCCGATACCTTTGAATGCTTTCCCTTCGAGATAGTATGGATTTCCTTCTTTAGACAAAATCATTTTTCTGGTATTTTTATAGATTTGGTCATCATTGCTGCAGAAACCGAGGATTGGCAGGGCGAGGAGACTAGGCACATTGGCATCGTCCATGAGGATTTGTCCACCATAACCATCTACTTCATATGCAAATACTTTACCCCATTTCTTGTGTTGTACGACAGCGTGCTTCATGATACCATCTTTGATACTTTGTGAGCGCTTCTCGAGAGTTTGGGCTAGATCGGAACGTTTGGCTACTTTGAGAATCTCGGCGGTGCGTTTCAATTCGACGGACATCTGCGCATTCGCTGGGATGAAGAAACCTAGAATCGTTGTATCGTCCGAAGGGCGGAATGCGCTCCTTATCAAGCCCGTACCGTAATTTAATGGGTTTCCAACACCAGATAATGGTAAAGTTTCAGTTCCCTGGTCGGTTCGACGGCTGAATGTGTAGGAATTACGTTGGAAACGGCCAGTCTTTGAATCGAAGCTTGATTCGGATTGTTGCTCGATGACCATGAGAAGGGTATCTAGTGCGGTCAACCAGCGTGAATTGATAAAGTCAGTAGATTTAGTGTGGTTGTAGAAGGCGTTTCCTAGAGCCAGAAAGTTGGCAAGGGAATCTAGCTCATATTTACATTCAAAGACGAAAGATGGTTCGTATGCGGGGTGGACATTGTCATCTTGTCCGTTTTGCGATGCAGCAAGCTTCGAGGGCGGGGGAGGTTGAAATGCGTTGCAATATGGCGACTGTATAACATACTCTGCTTGTGTATTGATAGCTCCCAAAATCAGATTGAAAATAGCTGGATCTTTGTTTGACAAAGGCTGATACTGTAGCAGTTGATTTGTAGAGTCTCTGAGCCACTCCGCATTGATATCTCCCGTAACCACGAATGACTGCGCTCCTTGCCATTTCTGATTGCTCTGGGCACTTCTCGCCTTCAATTCCGTATGCTTTGTGGTTCCGTCGACGTGCCATCGTACAGTTGTATCGAGAGTATTGGGGAAAGCGTTTTCGAACAGTCTCGCGAGGTCCTTGTTAACCATCTTAATTGACATATCATCGATGACCTTCTCCACCAAAGCCGAGGAGAATGTTCGACATTCCTCAGCAGGTCGTTGAAAAGGCAATTCCATAGGTCCATCAGATACTGGCCCATGCCTGAAAGTCGAATATTTCTTATAATCTGGACATGCTTTCGCATACTTATGAGGATCGTTTATTGGTTCTTGTGGTCGATATGGCGATTGAGCTATTGCGCCCAAAGCTCCGAGCCATAGGAGCCATGTTTGAAGGGGAAAATGGCCCATTGTAGTTGATTGAAGATATACGATAGGTAATGAAGCTTTGTCGAGCTTTTTCGAGAAGAATAAATCTTATTTCGACATCTGAATAAACGTGGATAGCTATTTGCTTTCTGAAGTGAGAGCTGTTGCAATGAATTCGATGGTCCAAGCAATGATTGGCGTTTCGTGATGGAATATGTGCTCGTCTTTCTTCCGTTTAGATCAACCCAGCCCCCCATGAAGCATGAGTGAAGGATTTTCTTTCTAGAATCTCAATGCCAGAACAATGCCAATTGAGATTCGATACCATAAATTATGAGTTGATAGAGGCTTGCGTCTGCAGAATGAATACTAGATAAAAGTCGGGGAAATGGCAAGCCCACCAGCCGAATCTCTTGGCGGTGGGGTGCATCCGCGATTCCTAGGTAAACCGGTAGCTCTCTCAAGATAGACGAGCGAGACGAGATAGTTATTTCTAGAATCCGCTTAATTTATACACCTGTATCGTGGATCATTCAACACCCTTTTCAGGTTTTCATTAGATTTGCATATAGCATTATAGTTTGAAGATTTCTTAGAAGTGGTGTAATTGGCCCCAAAAGTTTTAAACATATCATGTAATTATCACCGACGAGAATGGTATTACTATGAGCTTAAAAACAAAAAAGCAATAATATCTGTTTCGTCTCTACGTCCCAATTTCTCCTCCTTAGATACCTAAGTCATCTTTTCGCAAGCTGTAGCTGCAGTTGATTCATTTTTTTTAGCGCCTCTTCCGTCCTTTTCTTCACTTGCTCCAATTCTATCTCTCGATCTCGCAAAGTCATGCGAATATCCGACTCCCCAGAAGATGTCTGCTCTTCAGGTGAATGAGACCTGGTTCTTCCCTCGCCCAGGTTCAGGATTGTTTGCAGCTGCTTGTCATATGTGTATACTTGCGCGATGCGCTCATTTGCATCAATGACAACATGGCGAATATGCGATTGCGTATCAATATCTAAAAAGCAGAATCTAGGTTAGATGATACTTGGCTCTAAACTGGAAATTTCCCTCACCTTTGATTTTAAGTGCATCAAGAGAAGACTTCGAACAAAAGTTAAGAATAATGTAATCTTCAAGAATACCCCATTTGTGATACTTTCCTCCAGCTTTAAATCTATCCACATGTTCTTCTAGTCTTCCATGGGTACCAGATTGAAGTATCTCAATACCCCATCTTTTGCCAAAGATAAAGAAATCGATTCGTCCATCCTTTGTTTCAGCATATTCTGACAAAATAGGTAGATTATGAAGCTCCTGGTTAAGGCAACAATACATCTCATCCTGGAATACTGCCTCTGGAATACCCCAATTAGCATTGGACTGGCAACTAGTATTTGACGAGGGAGAGCGATGATGCAGAACAGAAGGGCTAAATCTTTCGATGGCGTTTAAACAAGCTTGCTGAAGGGTGATTGTATCTGAACTGGTTCCTGCTGGCGGACCTGGAATGAGACGGCGATATGCGATTCTGTCTGGCGTTAGTATAAACAAAGGACAAGGTGAATGCACATACCTTCTATGTATTGGAGAAGCAAAAATATAGGTGACTTCGCTACTTTCATGCTTAAGATACTCTGCGTGTAGGAATCCCATTTTATAACAAAATGCTAATGCATCCGTTTTATTCGTTCCTGACTCTGTGTAGCCATTGGGTAGTCTCGCTACTTTACGCAATGCATCTGCAACATCCGAATATTTGAGATGGCTGCAAGATGGATGACGTGTCAAATAGTTTTTCAGGTGTTGCTCTCCTACGACTGTCCAGACGCCTCTGCCCCATTGAGTAAGAAATTCCAGTAGAAAATCATGCTCGACAAGGATCTCATGACAGAAGTCTGGCGACCATCTTCGACGTTTTTCGATATTCTTATTGAGCGAGAAACGGTTAGCATATTCTTCAATGAACAACTTCTTTGGTTTAGCCGAGTAGGGATTACCTGTGCAATCAACATTTCAAAATAACCCAAAATCAATCCAACCATTCCCGGATGACCGTCAGTAGCAGAGTGAAGATACTCGGCTACAGCTACTCGATCAACGCTATCAGGATCAAGACGATTCTCCAGGATCCATTTACTAACTGCGGTCAATGTCTCATGTGATTTGAAGAGCATACATAAAGAACTGGATTTTGATGGTCGTAATTCAATACGATTGAGATCGTCCACTTTCGAAGCTTGCGATTCAATGAACGGTTCTTGAATCTCAGAAATGCCAGCAGCCCCATAAAGGCAAACAAGCACAAATATTCGACTTGATCTAGTGTAGCGGCTTCTGAGCTCAGAAATCCAAAATTCTTCATCTTCATAAGAGCCTTGAGCTTCGTCAATGAGATAAATAAGTTTGGCGTTAGGTTTATGTGTACGGTATCTGGCATTGTCTTTTCGCGCCCGGGTTACCTGTTCGTCTAAATATTCTTGCTATGGAACATTATTGCGTCTATTTTTGGGCAGCCAATGAACGAATACAGGCTCAAGCTCTGGATTGTGAAGAATAATATGATATCCAATCAACCGAAGAAGAGTTGTTTTTCCCACTAGAGGTGTAGCACGAATAACCGCCATTCCCGTGTTTAGTGCAAGTTGCAGAACTGAAGAAACTAGATCTGGTCTTTCGCAAACATAATTGCAGCGTGTATTCCATGAACTGAAATCAGGAAGTGCATGGTCGTTAATATCGTGTCCACAGTTGACACAGTTGACACAGATAGGAACTAAAAGCTCGAAGACTCCTTGAGGGCAATCACACGATGACAAGGCCAGTGAGTGATAGTGGTAAAAGGGGGATCTGACAAATCAATGTTTGTGTGTCCTCTGGCAGGCTTCTGTTGTTTAGAATCTTGATTTGGGTGGGGTTTTTTCTTTGCTTGTCGTCTGATGTGGTGCTTGGAATGTTTCTGGCGACGCTTTGGTTTAACGACAACTTTTTGTAAAGCGGCCTTTGGGGAGAAAACTTTGGGAAGATGCAACTCCACATCCTTTGAAATAGATGAGAGAAGTCTTTTGGACATAGTTCTGGTAGTTGCAGGCATTTTCTATAATAGGTAAGTAAAAGCAGACTTGTGAAGAGGAAAGAAAGTTCTTGTTTTTGAGTTGTGAATAGATCAAACATCCCTTCTTTGTTGTAAAGAAAGTGGAGATAGTATTTTGTTGTTTTTGTTGTTGTATGATCCATTTCTGCGAACAAAGGAATTACAATCGACCGCACCCAACTCCTTCAGACTTCCTTAAGCATTTTGATAAGACCTTATCGAAGCTGTCAGGGGGACAACCTGGAAAATGCCTAACCTCTAGCTCTACATACATAAGAGATGCTTTGGCATGAATTATCTTTGGCCAATCGTTATCGCATGGGCCCGTCAGCCGGGAATCAATAAGAAAAGTGTTTTTTTTATTAATTGGACCATCTAGCTTTAGGAATTTGAGGCAAAATGGTGAGCTGAACCTCGTGTTGTGGGCAAACGTCAGGTGTACGGGTCATGTAATAGGAAAGAAGTTGGCAAGTTGGGAAGTTTGGCTTACAACTAAGGATTTTCTCGCTCTCTGGAGATTGAGGGTTATTTCGAAGGTGCTCAACATATGCTTCTTTGTCCATGAACAGGAAAGGATTGAATACATATTACTTTGATGAGCAATTGAGGTCAGGCCTTGAACGTTGCAACATCCAACCAGCTCTGGATAATTAGTCCTTGTCAAATGAATAGGACTAGCTGTATATTGGCACATAGAGTAACAACGAGTTAGAGAGCTTTCGAACTTACATTGGTGCTTGATGCTTAACTAGCTAGGTAGATTGCATGTGTCTAAACTGCTTAGCGAGTAATATCCATGCAGTGGAACTGCGTTGCAGTTGCATCATCAGCACAATTAGTAAGCTTCTTTTAATACGCAAATACCGAGCGAGGTAATTATAGCCGATCGTAATACGATGCTGTGCTATGAACAGTACCTCAACTGAGTCATGAAGCATGCGGTAAGGCAATCTATGCACGCCATCTTCTCTGGAAATTGGAGTATTTCAATGCCACTGGCAAAGCTTAGAGGACATACCCGATCGCGATTGCTCTTGAACAGTATGATTGCTTCTGTGGTATTGCACGTTTTGATTGCGAACTAACATATACCAATGCTACTGCATCGTAGATCCGCTTAATCCAAGGCTTTCGAGTATTCTTCCTAGAAGATATCTTCAACGACTTTGAAACTAAGCTATGCAATGTCGCCCGATATACACTGTTCCTACCCCAGGCCAAGCAACATTCGGACCTTCCTCCGATGAACCTCTCAAATATACTAAGTTTCAGATGAATATCATCTGCAGCTTTCTAAACCGGATGAATATATTCTTGCATAGGTACCGGAACACTTTTCCTGATGACGGACACGCGTAAACACGATCGTAATCATGGTATGATATGCAATGCCTTCCCAAAGTACTGCTTTCCCGACCATTGCGGAATTTTAGTGACATTCGTTGAAAAGAAACTTTTGAATGTCACTGCTTGCTTGCATGCCTCCAGCAACCTTCAGAATCCTATTGGACCAGTAAGTACTAAGCGTCTCGCATCTCTTCTGGTGTTGTACCCATTGCCATGCAGCCCAGATTGAAATTCAAAACTGACAGCCCAATGAAGCTTTCATCAATCAAATCCCCAGAATTTCGGAAATAAAGAACCGTTGCCATTGAAAACTGTAACGCATTCTTGGTCTAGTGGCTCCTCTTTCACGTGAGTGACCAGACCTTTACAACGCCTACAATGATGCTCGATGTTGAGACTAGTTAATGACCTGTATGTAGCATTTCAGGTCAAAAGACGACATTGAATTTCAAATGCCACAGCTTCAATTTTCTACAGATTTTAAACTTCCTGACCTGCTGGTATCATTTGGTAACAAACTCTTCGGGTTGTTGAAAGGAATGCGAAGAATAGACATTTGGGGGCGAGGCGTGATCTTTTTATAGAGATTCTTCATTGCAGATCGTTTATTCTGGATTGTTGTTTGAGTCTCTACAAGAAAGATACCAGTAAAGGGCTGCACTAGATGAAGGGCGGCGTGAGTGGCTAGCTGGCGAGAAACCAGTGTGATGTACCAGTCTGAAAGGAATCATCGTGCGACAGATGTTTCAACATGGTTGCTCGAGTCATGTAAATCTCATCGTCCGCCCATAAGATTACCAGCCGGAGTGCAGCTGTGAAAGGGGGAGATATGGGACAAGTTTGTGGCTGCGCACAGCTTCTTCAGCTCGTGCTTGGATAAAAGATTGTCTCCATATTGGGGAATAAACGCGACTGTATACCTATGTAAAAACCAGCACCAGGCCACCAGGCCAGTTCAGCTGGCGGTCCATAGAAGCAAATGATTTGTCAGTATGTCCGATCTAACCGATCGTGATTAGTCATCAAAATTTCTTTTTCCAGTTCGTAATACGGAGGCACTTAATATGTTGTGCTCCACTCGGAAACCCTTGAGGCATGTTTCCTAGAAGGTTATCCGCATGTGGGCGAGTCTGTTAAGTGCAATTTTAAGCGGTTATCGAATCCCTATCAAGCCTCTCCGATAGTACATGCATGAACGGAGTCCATTTCGAGATGCAAGCAAAGTTGATGTCAAAACATCACGAACAAACTCGATTCTGAAATCTCTACAAACTGAAGTTATTAGACCTCAAAGAGTAGAGGCATGAATGATCTCTGACATTGAGCTTGGTGGTCTGCTTCGACCATGGTGATCCTCAACGGCAAAGGTAATGGGAATGTCAAGCCTACTATTCAAGACATTCAAGACATTGCAGAAATTCGAGATCTTCTTGAAGATATTCACATCGCAGATACGAGTCAAAGTTCCATACCAGATTCCACGAAAACGCATTCTTCGAACAAAACAGCCGCCGCCGCCGAAGCCTCATATTCATCCACGATCCCTTCTCCAATTCCAAAGCCAGCAGACTGGACCTCAGATCTACCTAACTCTGAGCATGTGCGCTTTTTTAAAAAGACAAATTGGGCTGCAACACACCTCGGACCATTAGAATCATGGGGCCTTGCCCTACGACTTCACACTTTCACAATTTTTGCGGATTCAAGGCCTGCTTGTTTATATTGGTATGATGGAAAGATAAAATCTCACTACTCGAATCTGAATAATCTGACAGCATCGTGTTAGGGGACCTGAGAGAGTTGCAATTTACAATGAAAACTTCATCCAAATGACTGGTAACACACATCCAGCATTAATGGGCAAACCATTTGAGTTGGCTTTCCCAGAAATTTGGAATGACATAAAGGGGGTTTTCATTCATGCAGAGACGAGCAAGCTTGCAGCAGACGTTAATGAGATACCATTGATGGTGGAGAGAAGCGGGTTCAAAGAGGAGACATATTTCACGGGAAGCTTTAATCCAGTCCGAAGGGAGGATGGAGCAGTTGCAGGCTTTTACAATTCTGTAGGTTCGTATTTGTTTCGCAGATTTTGCAACCTTCAAATCCATTTCCGTTCCCAAAATCTACATCCCACTTTTCCTATTCCCCATTCATGCGATGAATGGAGTAAATCATCGCATATCGAAATGAATTCTTGACTATCTGATTTTGAGACAATACAACCTTCCAATCTGATTGGGATAGTAGAATGTCGTACTGAAGCTCAAGATACTATTTGATTGTCGAACTTCAACATAGATATTGAAGAGATAGTTCTGAAGTATTATTGAATTTGTTATGCGATTTGTTTCATTAATCTTTACTTTCTGTTTCCAAGTCTAATTTTATCCGTTATTATCCTCTCAGATATTCTTTTGGCTAGCAATTACTGAAACGTGGATGCAGTTGAAGTTACTGCCCAAAGGATCAACGCGAGAAGACAGTCAATGTTGGGATCATTGGAGATCTCAATTGGATTGCAACAAGGGACACTTGCTAGCCATGTTATGCCTCATTTAGAGTCGAATCCACTTGATATCCCCATGGCAATGTTATATCAGGTGGACGAGCAAAGTTCTTCTGGGTCCACGGTTTATTTGCGGGGTCAACTGGGTTTCCCTGAAAACCACCCACTCGCTGTGCCGGAAGCTAAACTCAGCAGTTGTCTTGCCCTATTTCCATTGTTGCATAAGACAAGCAATAAGATTTCGACTCATTCTGTTGATGAGAGATTTGAGGGAGTCGAATGGCGTGGCCACAAAGATGATTTTAACAAAGCTCATGAACCATCGACGCATTTTAGCATACTTCCAATCTCAAGTGCTGATCGTCTCTTTGGCTATCTTATACTTGGCGCCAATTCTCGCCGACCAATTGACGATACCTACGATCAATTCATAAATGCCATTGCCTCGAGAGTCTCATCAATTGCATCTGCCTTGGCTAGCGCTGAGGAAACAAAGCGGAGGGCTGATCGACTAGAAAAAGAACTAGCTGAAAGTGAGAGACAAATCAGATACATGGCACAGAACGCTCCGGTTGGTATGCTGCAATTATCGACTGAAGGTAAGATCCTCTGGGCCAATCATATGTACTACCGAATTACTGGCCATCCGGGACCTGAGGAACCGCAGTACAACTATTCCTTTCTTGACGTCTTAATTGAAGAAGACAGGTCTCAAACCTTACAAGCTTGGGTAAAACTTCATGATGGATCCTCTCACATTGAGACTACATCACGGCTCAAGCGGATGTTCGTGCCACCCAGTGGGGAAGCCGAGCACGCTTGTGTGCTATCATTGGCATTCCCATATATTGTTAATGGTGAAGTTAAATCCATCATGGCTTGCTTCACCGACATCTCTGAGTTAAAATGGGCCGAAGCAGCGGAAGCTAGAAATGCCGAGGAAGCACGCGCGGCCAAACGCCAACAAGAGGAGTTCATTGATGTTGTTTCTCACGAGATGAGAAATCCTCTTTCTGCCATCTTCCAATGTGCCGATATGATATCAAATTCGTACAAAGATTTATCGCATACAAATACTCTTGAAATCTTGAAAAGCAATGTCGAGGCCGCCCATACGATAGCTATGTGTGCTAGTCATCAAAAGCGTATTGTGGATGATGTCTTGACACTCTCGAAGCTCAAGTATATGATGTTGTCCATTTCGCCGCATTCTGCTAATCCAGCAAAGATTCTGGAACAGGTCGTCAGAATGTTTGAAGCGGATTTAACGTCCCACGATATCTCAATCAAAACAATAGCTCAACCATCCTTCGGCGCCAACAATATCGACTTAGTCATGTTTGACTCTTCACGTGTGAACCAAATCTTGATTAACTTACTAACAAACGCGATTAAGTTTACAAGAGGTGAACCAAAGAGAAAGATCACAGTTACTTATGGTGCTACTCTTGTTAATCCAGAGAAGAATTTCAGCAAGGAGCTTTACTGGGTACCATGCGGGGACGAGGTTGAAGATTTGACGCTCAATCCAGAGTGGGGCTCCGGTGAACCTGTGTTTTTAACATGCGCAGTCACAGATACAGGAGTTGGCATGCGTGCTGAGGAGATCCCTCGTCTCTTCACTCGCTTCGAGCAGGCCAATTCGAAAACCTCTATAAAATATGGTGGATCTGGTTTGGGATTGTTCATTTCTCAGAAGCTTGCCGAAAAGCAAGGAGGTAGGATTGGTCTATCTTCCAAGTTAGGCCAGGGGAGTACGTTCGGATTTTACGTCAAGGTACGACGTAGTGTTAAACCACGAAAAGATATCCGTCCAAAATTAACACCAGTATCATTCGATGGATCTTACTATGACGGATCGAAGCCTATGCACGTTTTGTTAGTCGAGGACAATTTGGTCAATCAGAGGATATTAGAGAAGCAATTAAAAAAAGCTGGCTGCATAGTTTACGTGGCTAACCATGGGCTAGAGGCTCTAGAGATATTGAGACAATGTTCCTGCTGGCATGAGCCGGTAAAAGACGCGAAGAAGTTAGATATCATACTGATGGATTGGGAAATGCCTGTCATGGATGGTCTCACTTGCAGTCGGGAGATCCGAGCATTGCAACAATCTGGAAAGATCGTGAGGCATCTTGAGATCATCGCAATTACTGCTAATGCCCGAGAGGAGCAGGTTCAAGTGGCATTACATAACGGAATTGTAAGTCTCCGAAAGACTGGTTTGAAGTGAATCATCATGCTAACAGTTGTTGCTGTAGAATTTCGTAATGTCCAAGCCTTTCATAGTCTCGAACTTACTATCCAAGATGAGAGAGAGGCTTAGCGGGATCGACAATGGAACAAGTTTTCAGTGAATGAATATGATCCTGCCCATAATTACAGTAGGAGTGCTTATGAGGAGGCGATCGGTATTATCCCTTCTTGTTTTCTGAATGGCTTTGCGCTATTCTCTAATCGCCCAAGCCCCTCTGAATAGACAACGGAAGTCGCGGATATCGAGGGAAATGACTGTGAGCATATATGCCCAGCTGCCCTTTTGATGAAGAATACTGTGAATGATACCAGTATGTTTGAGATAATTGGAACAACGACGGATATGAAAGAACTCAATGCCAAACCAAGATTACGTGTATTAATGTTCTTGTCATCACGTGAAACTTATGGGCATTTGCTTGGATGCAATACCCCAAGAAACGACACCCAAAATTGTTGGAAACCTGTCAGAAACACAGGTAGTGATGAAGAGAGCAGCTAGGCTTAGTTGCAAGAACGAAAAGGGCTATTTAGGTCGGTTCTTTCTTGGTATTTTTGTAATCCATTGGATAGCATTAGCAAACAATAGGATAAATTAGAATTACATCAAAGTTCGAGCAAACCCCATACAATTCAACCTTACACCATATCAAGACTTTCAGATCCCCCCCCCCCTTTCCAAAAAGGTAACAAGATACATAGAAAGTATCATCAAAGGTGGCCCGGTAAACACATTGTCCACAGCATTTCGGTGTGGAATCTTCACCGTTCAAGGATTCAGAAAGCCAATCATTCTACTTTACGCGCCAATAGCAAATTCTGGGAGAGTCATAGCAAATTCTGGGACAGTCATTGAAGCCGTTTCGATTTCAAGTCAGGTCGTACAAATGAGTCAATTAGTTTCTCGCATTCAAAGGCATGCTGTCAGATCTTCCACATACACCCAACTATTCGGCAACAACGTCGACATCGAGAAAACACCCCCCGTCAAGTACTTGGTTGTTCGACTCTACGCATTGCAAATATCCGTCGGACTGTGTTGTCTAATATTGCAGTGGCAGTGCTGTTCGCAAAGCTTGGTGGCTAGGGAGATTAACAATGAGGGTTGAACATGGCAATATACCATCAATCGTGAGAGCTGACGATATTGCTTGGCCACAGAAGCGAAAAGATATTCTACAATTCCGAAATGTCTCTTCTGAGGTCAGAAGTCTCTGAACTTAAAGAGGAGACAGATTCAAGATCGCCTCATATTAATGCAGGGAGATCAGGCGCTTCTTGAAATGGTTGGGTCGCCTGCATCGAAGCTCATCAAAGCATACGTATTTAGGGTATCAGAAATTACAGTTCTAGCAAGAGAAGCGAGCGAAATAGCATCACGTTCGCAGATAATACTGGATTGGATGGAACATGGATTTGAGTTGCTGTGGAGTCTTCCTTTGTGGTACTTCATGTGCAAGTCTTAGCTTGTACGTAGGAACTTCGCCACGAGGGATCCTGATTTCCTCGAAATAATCAAAGAAGAAAGAACATTACACAAGGACAACACAATAAAGTTCTTTCACTTGGGTCGAATGACATTATTGACAACCCACTAGAAGTGTTCGTAACTTAAGCTGACCGGAATTAGTTTTCTAGATGAGCAGACGCAGCCAGTCTAGCGAGCTCGATAAAATTGGTTCATCTTTGCAGGATATAAAACATTACAAACTTTAGCGGTAGCCGTGCATATATTTGCTAATTTGGCATTTCAGCACTGAAAGATTAAGCGAGTATTGTGATCTCTGTATTCACCTCTGATTTTTGATAGTAGGCAATCTGAACCATGTGTCTTTTGCTCCCCGCTAACAATTTTCGGAGCCTATTACATTGGAGCAGAAATTAAAATACCTACTTAGGCAATCAATCTCTTTGATCTGAGTTTCCTGGCGCGCTTCTGTGCCAAGATTTTCAGGTGAGAGCTTTTTGATGTTTCTATAATTTTACATGGAAGAATACCCTCAAAGCTTCAGCACCGTCAGAAACTCTTTGAAATGCTTAAAAAAAATTATTGTTTTATGATTCTATGAATGACATAAAAAGATACATCTGTTGTTGTGGCATTGATTTTCGGTAGATGTTTGCTGTTGGGCTCTGCTTGCTTATTATTTGCTTGCATTTGCTACTTTGAGCAAATAAAGGATCAAATGAAACTTCCATTGCTCCCTACTCTATTACATATCAATCTTTTTGTGGAAATACCTTTCATGGGGGGTCTTTACATATGAAAGTCACACAATATATTCACCCCTCACAAAGGAAGATGGCTTACTAGTGAGAAGTCCTCATTACCTGAGTATCTCTTAAATATTGATCAACTTGCTCAAGTAGTGATCATTGATCTTACCACCAATTGATTCATTTCTCAATAGGGGATGCACACATTCAACTTTTTGATCGATAGACCAGCCATTATAGCATAACATGTCTGCCCAAGCAGTGGATCAAGCGACCAGTGTTACGGAGGAATCAAAGAAAGCAGCTATAGAGCAGCTCAACAAGGAAGGAAACGTTTTATTTGGATGTAAAAAGCTCTCGGAGGGTATGTTGCAAGTTTCCATTTTTTACACTGTTTTTTGACAAAAATAAAGACGTCTCTTTGCGTCTAAGAGATAAAACGGCTCAAACTATATATGCTAACAATATACTTCTTGCACATAGCTCTTGATAAGTATATGGAAGCTGTCGAGATTGACCCGGTCTCACCTCTTACTTCCAAACCATTACGTAACACGACAGTGGTTCAATTTGAGTGCGGCAGATACACTGAATGCATAAAAGGAGTTCAAGACATACTAGAGCTGATGGTTGTGCAACAACTGGACGACAAAATTGTCATTTCAAACCTTCAACGGCAGCTGAAAAGAGCCTATGATCATGTTCCTACATATTCTCTGCAAAAGCAACTACAAAGACGATTGAAAATATTTGCATGTTTTCCACGAGATCGTGCATCTATGTAAGCTTTCTGCATTCACATGATTGGAGGTGGCTAATATTGATGACTAGGTTCACATCGCCTGAGTATTTTAGAATTGGAAACGATGTCGCCGAACCTCTTTCCGTTGAAGTTCCGAAAGATTCTCTAAAGAAAGGTGACATAATTTCGTTTTTCTTCGCTGGTATTGGGGATGCGCGTCATTTGTATGCAACGATTATCGATCTCCATGAATCTGGAAATAGAACCACTGCCACCCCTCGAAAATATCATTTCGTTGCAAATGATCTCAATATATGCTCTCTAACCCGAAATCTTATTATCTGGACACTTCTTGATGAGTTGTCTGCATTAGACCATGGTTCGGACCAGGGATTGATGGTCTTGACAACTATTTTCTTCATTTACAGACCCATTATCATGCCAGGCTACGTCTACAAACTTTTGTGTGCAACAATGGAAGCTATTCTTGCTAAATTGGACAAGGTGTGTATACTCTGAATTTCAAACTCTTACACTACGGCACTATCTAGAGGCAATGCTATGCTATACATCACCTTTCGAAAGGATGACATGTACTCGAGCTTTCTAATTCAATACTTACTATTCGTCAACCTTAGGGAGTTAGTCCTGTCGAGTGGGTGACCTTTCACGAGTACGACATTCCAAGATACATCGATGTTTTAAAACACTGGGCTAGTAACGGCTTTGGGATATTTACTACCGAAAAGGTTATCCAAGGCACACGCGACAAACTGAGCCAAAAATCACTACTTCATGACTCCCGAGACACTAGCAAAGTTTGCACTGACGAGAAGGAGTTTTATGCCAAGTATGCTCTTGTTTATCCTCCGGAGAAGATGATTCTTTCACAAGAACCACGGTTGAAAAAGCTCATCACGAAAGCATTGAAAGAGAAAAGATACTCTAATAAACTCCGCAAACATCTCGCAAAGAACTGGAAATTTAATCCAACTATGATGGACCAAAATTGGTACCGAAATACTCTAAGAAAGTATGGCCATTCCAAGGGTTATAGCTTCGAAATCAATCCATTTTCGGCTATCTGGCATTTCCAAGATACCTGGAAAGGAACCGAGCCTTCCTCCTTGTTTGATCATGTAGCACCGATGTTTAAGCGCGCAGCCAATGCAATCAAGGAAATGAAGGGAATATTCTGTGTAGAGGCTCTCTGTGGGGATGTCACTGAAATTGCCGAATGGTTTCATTTTGACTGCTCACCGACCAGAGTCTCTCGCTCTCCCGAGTTTCCCAAAAGTTTCGACTGTATTCATATGAGTAACATACCGTGAGTACCCTTTTTTATTCATAAGTCTCGTGTATAGGTGATTTTGTTCAATGCTTCTGTAAAAGGCTGGGTAGACGGTGCTAACAATGTCCTTCAGGGGTTACATCGGCGGTCATTTATCGACATTTCTTTACGTGTTCCCCCTCTTAAAGATTGGTACTAGCAGTTATCTCAAATCAAACTGTCTACGTAACCCGGGATCATGGGATTGCCTGGAGGCATTTCTAGCAGATTATCAGTGTATCACTGACAAAGAAATGCTGCGAAAGTTAACAGGCGTTATTGCAGCTCTTGAGCCAGGTAAAGACGAATTGTTGCCGTTGATTAAATACAACTCATACTCGCGGGAGGCACTCGATTCACAGGATGCCTGGTCCGCATTGTTACCTCAGGCTGAGTTTCAAAAGTGGTTCTACACACTTTTTTTCAGGATTGCTTTGCCTCACAATGTGGACATCTCCAAGACCGACGCAATCATTCTCTCTCCTCTTAATCTCACAGTATTGTTTAGACTGATCGATCAGCTTCATAATCACGGGTATCCCTCGCACTGGATGTCAGAAATTATTTACAATATCATTGAGAACAAGGTTGCCTCTACTTGTCGTCCTCCTCGGGCCACTCCCACTACGGTTTCTGCATTGATGAGACAATATAAGCTCAAAAAGCTCTGTAAAAGTCCTTTCGCTGATGAAATTGCAACTCTCACTAGGATTTTCTCGCCCATCTTACCATTCGTTCTCGAGTCACAGAAAATTCCTTCCCAGGAAGATATCCACAAGTACACTTTTCCACTCGAAAAAATGTACACCGTTCAAGAAATGCCGAACAATCTTACACTGTTATTTTGGAGTGATAAGCTGTTCAGAGAAGTGGGTCAGGTGGGCTTCTGCGCGATGTATCAGAACATCCGCCCACTCCTTGATCCTACTTGGGAAGATGAAATGGATGCTCAGTTTAAAGGAATTCAATTCAAAACTTTTAGAGAGAAAGGCATGGTTCTGTGGAGTACTATTGAGTGGAATCTAGAAACATCAGAAGCTAGTGCTTGGATGCCTAGCAGTCTAATGGATAGAATGATCAGGGAGAGAGATTGGGGTTGTGGGCTATTCAGGACAGATACGTGGGAGAGGTGTTGGGATAAGTTGTCACTGGTCAGTAATGCGAGAAAGGGTGAAAAATGGGAAGATGATATTACTTCAGTCGAAGATATCAAGCTTGCGCAGTCGATCAAGAAGGGTGTGAATCTGGAAAAATGAAATTATGCGCGACGGTGGCATCACGGAAGTGGAGCTCTGCTTTAGTATTTGAAACTAGCTCTAAGCCCTGGATCACCCAAAACGCATAACCGTAAGAGTGGAATTCAATTTTCTTGATGGAATCTATTATTGGTGCAAGTTGACTGTCTTTTACGACCCAATGCGTACTCCGAGAAAGCAAAGACTTCTATCTTTTTAGCGTACGATACAATCTATGGGTAACGAGAAATATCTATACGCTCATTAATGCCGCTTCTCTATGATCGTCATCAATTCTGAAGTTTGCATTAGAAGCGCTCGAAGAATTAAATTAGGAAACTCACCATCATAGCTAGACTGATCTTTCTCTGGCTGAGATCTTTTGTCATTATCATAGAGACCTCCTACCGGCTTCTCATTGAAACTATTCTCTGGAAAGTGACGTTCATCCACCCATGGGGTAGAAAATCGGTTCCTCTTGAAATATTTGTATGGGTACGCAATTGGAGGATCAAACCTATTGTATATTCCGCTCACAGCTTTAGTAGGCTCTTCAGCCAATCTTATCTCACCACCGTCGAAGTTTTCACCCATTTCCCATACTCCAGATCCAACCTGAAGAAGGCGAAGCTTAGGCAGATCATTTTTCATCTTCTGAAAATAGTCGGACCATTTTGTTTTGTAATGCCAGATAGTGGGAGCGCCTGAAATGAGCGTCAGTATTTATAATCTCAGTTCTTGCTCAGATATTATCACCTCCATTATCCATGGGAGTCATCGCATAGTTCTCATCATCGAGATCCCCCAAGTGTCTAGTCCCTGCGAGTATTGGACAGTCGTCGAATTTGAGAACTTCCAACGTTTCTCCATGAGATAAAATCCAATCCAATTGCCAATCGTGCGAAAAAGTGTAGTTGCCCAATTCCAACTTCTTCAATTTTGGAAAATGCACACTTCTCCAATCACACTTGGGAAAATAACCCCACCAATGAATACAGTGAATAGTGAGCGAGGTGAGATTCTTAGCGCAGGGCACCAGCCATGTAGAAGGAAGCTCGGTAAAGAAATCATGCATAGGTGGAAGAGACCATGAAGATTCAGGGGTTGCCTTTTCATATTCGACAACGATTCTCATACGCAAGTTCGTGATTCTTTTCAAGACCGCAATAAAGTCTTTTGATCCGGTCAAGCTCGTATCATTGACATTTTGTAGATTCTTGAGGGAAAGTGTGGTAAGTAAGGGTGTAGGATACCTTGGGTCATTCAAGGAACGAAACAATTCTTTGAGAACAGCAATACGATATTCATGGCTGTCTTCTGCTGGGGTAAGATAGAATCCTCTTTCATCCTCCTCGCCCAAATATGTACAAAATTCTGCAAATTCGACTGCGACGGTGGTGAGGTTAGGGAACCTGTTACATTTTCCAATGATTCTTTTCATCGAGATATTGAAATGCTGTGGGGGGTGTTTCTCCGCGTAGGAGCTGAGATACGAATTTGCATAGGGTTCAAGACTGGTGATGTAACTGACAGAACGAACTGCTTGCTTGAGATGTGGTACACAGATGATCTTCTCCAAATTGGTGCGCGGAATGGCTGAGTCTATCTCTGCAACGTCTTCAGACTCCTCGTCTTCATTATCGTCTTCATATCCTTCATTTAGATTCTGTAGATTCACACTACAGTGCGAGAAGAACTTTTCGGTGACTAGAACTGAGAAGGATCTCGAAACAAGACGGAGGTTTTTGAGATCAGAGGTGCTCGTTACCCCTTTAATGATCAAGCGAAAGATTTCTGCTGGAAAGTTTTCCATTTTCAATTGATGCTAGGGGAAAATGTCTGGAGCTTGTCTGTTCAAATCTTAAATCAATGGTAGTACCGGTAGAGGGTAGCGACGGCTAGTACATATAGCTCGCTCCAGACGCCGCATTAGGTTTCGGATAATAATCTGACTCCTGTTTCTGGAAAGGGATAATTAGAAATCAATTACTGGACACCAACCAGGCAGCATACTCAATGCTAAGAGAATTCGGACTCGCAAATAAATAAAGTATCTTAGTTTCTCAGCAAGCTATATTTTCCACGTCGTTGCTTACTGACAAACTTCCAGTCCAGTGTTGATACTCTTTGCACAATCTGTTAAAGCCGGGGACTTGAATGGCTTTAAATAAATCCAACTTCGTGAATTGCAACTTGGGGGAAGTTGACGTCGGTGATTGATTGAAAGTGAGACTATAAGCCTTTCCCTCTCCACGATGTGTTGTAGTATGCTTATCTCACGTGATCAAACTTTGATCGACCCGATTTAAACATGAGCTCAAGAGAACACGTCCTGGGGCTCGATGTGAAGGTTAACTCTGCCTTTGGAAAGAAAAGCTGCAACATATCCTCAATCGGTTGCTTTTCCTTCAAGCTCTGGCCGTGTCGACACTGTCGTTTTTGGGGGTTTCCAGTGCTTTCCAACCCCCTCTGGCTCAAATCGATCGCAGCACGCACGAATTCTGTGGATTCCGATCCTTGATTGCCGTAAATTATGAAATAAATACAGCAAGAAGTCTGGCGTCAGCACTCTTTCATTCTAAGGTCCGATTTGCCTTGACATGCTCTCGTCACAAGGTAGAAGAAATTCTCTGGTGCTCCAACAAATCCTAGATTTCGAGAACCTGCAGCCTGTAGGTCTCGAAATTTTGCAATTCTGATTCGATAAATTTCAATTCTAGGTATCTAAGCTTCCAAAGCTCCGACAAAGTATGCATTCTTGTCCGGAGCCATAATCATCTTTCTGAAAATTGCATTTACAGTACCATCTATTTATCGTCTAGAATTCGCCACATCACTTCATAAGAAACATAGCAGATTGATCTCTGGAAGTTATTCCTATTCAGGAGGCAGTCAATGTCTTACGAAGATCTCCCTCACCCCATAAATCCAGTATTTTTAAGACTTCGTGTCAATGACTAAAACTGGCGAAGCACAAGGGCAACCATTCACTTTAACATTTAAGTCATCGCATCTCCAAATTGCCATAAACCATTCTCGCTTGTTACTGCTCCGAGAATAAACCATAATCACGTGCCAAAAATCCCTTTCCAAGCTAGTCATTACTAGCTCGATCCAAAAATAGCGTTCTAAACTGCATTGAGAGGAATTTAGGTTTGAACTTAGCTCTTCACCCACGAACTGACCAGGCACATGCTGAGATGGACAGTACAAGTACAGAATACTCAAGGACAGATTTTAGTGGATCAGTGGGAAACCACGATATTTTATGGACAAAATTTTCAAGTGGCTATCCTTGAATAAAAGTGGTGAAAGTATTTTCACGACCTCCAGATCAAAGAAACTGAATTATGTATGATTCCGATCAAGTGCCTCGAATAAATTGTTTTTATAACAGAACAGTCTGATAATAATAGTATGCTGTCTGCCCTATGACTTTGAGGCAGAGACCATGGCACCGTCTTCAATCTCATCTATCCTCCTAGTACCTCTGGGGCACGAAATTTATGGTCACAACTTCGATACCCAAAGCCTAAATTGCGTAGAAAAACTTCGAGTAGATGCGCAGGGCTCTGAAGATCTGGTCCATCAATGATCACCAAGACTGAAGAAGCAAAGTTTGGTATGTTAGAATGATACAATTAGTACGTGTCATATTAAGGTCATCAGGTTTCTATTCGATCAAACGAAAACCTAGCCGTCTTTTGACTTCTCCGTCTTTAAAGATTTACATTTAAGTGCTTGTGCCTACCAACTCGTCCCGTGAATTTGATGATTGTGTGATTATCAAATCATGATAATATGAGGATTCATAATAAGTCCACTAAATCACTTACTAATATCTTATCAAATAAGGGATATATTGATGACTAATACACATATGATGTGATATTATATTATGAAATCATATTATCATATAGTTGTATAATAGTATCTCTTATCAAATTGATTTATAATGGAATAGAATGAAATGGAACTAGATGGAAGTATACAGGAAATATTACTAAATTGATTGGTTGTACTTTCTTTTTATTATCTAAAATGATTCTATAAGATATGATTTAAATCAATCTTATTTATAAGTATGGAATATACTGGAATTTCATTATAAACTATATAAATCTAGAATATTCTTTAAAGAAATTCTAGGAAAAAGTAAGCAATTTCATTTTAATTCAGTCTAGTTCTTCTAAATTGATTTCAATTTAATTCTTATTTTATATATTCGATTTATCTCTATAGTTTAAATTAACTAGATTTTTCATTATTTTTATAATAATATTATTCCTTTTTATTATAAAAACTAATCTTTAAGAGATTATAAGCCTAACTAGTTTAAACTAACTTAAAAAGGGAATTAGCTTAATTTAAAACTATATATTATATATATATCGCTATTAAATTATTGAATATCGAATTTTCAAATCAATTTAATCGAATTTATATTGAAAACTATTGTATATAGACTCTGAGGTCTGTATCCCTGAAGCTAAATCTAATTAAGTGTATAAAATTAAATTTTTAGATAATATATTTATATTATATTGCTATCCATAGTGGGTGATATATCAATCTTCTTTATATTAAGGTATTCTAATTTATTTAATTTTTATTTTATATCAATTAAAATAAAAATCTAATTTAAAAAATAATTAATCTATTCAATCCTTAAAACTAAAATTGATTTTAAATTGATTTATTTATTTAATTTATTCAAACCCGAAATTAACTATATATTTAGATTAGTATTTAACTAATATATATGTTAGAATAGATAATAGTAATAAATCAATTAGATATAATGTAGTATAAAGACTTTTTATTAATTCTTTTAAATTATAAAAATTCTATAATTTATAATTATATATAAATTAATATTAGTTTGAAATAGTTTTACAAAAACTATTTATATATTTTTATTAGTTTTTATATAAATTGATTGTAATAGAGCCCCCTATATTGTATATTGTATTTCGAAATGTATATATTTACTTTTCAAATTTGATTTGTGTAATATAAGA